GGATTTCAGTGTTCACTCTGCGAAATGAGAGACTATCGAAACATTTTAAAATAGGTAAGTGATGTGGCCAGGTTTCAGAGTTTGTGTGTGTGTGTGTGTGTGTGTGTGTGTGTGTGTGTGTTTGAAGAGGTTTGTACTATAGGGCATGTGTGCTCACCAGAAAGACAGAGAGAGAGAGACAGAAAGGAAGAAATCACCCCTGGCGGGATGACCACGCTGCAATCCCTTCTCCTCCATTCGCCTCTTGGGATCTTGGGCATGCATACATGCACGCCCAGCATGATTTTAAGCCACTAGGTCTGGGACTCATACCATGGCCGACCACATGGGAGTCCAGCAACATAGCCATTATGCCAACTGCTGGTACCAGGTTTCGGTTTTAAAAGACCCTTTTAGCTGCCATGTGCACCAGAAACAGGGCAGAGGCAAGTCATTCAGGCAAGAGGCAATGTTGGCACAATTAGCCTGCTAGTGGTGAAGGCAGAGAAAAGAGGATGGATTTGAGGGAATTCGGGAGTTGAGACTGTAAGGATTGGTGATAGGGTAACATGAGGAGTGAAGGAGAAGGAGCAAAGATGACTTCTGGGCTGAATAACTAGGTAAACGGTGGCCTCGTGGGTGGGCATGTTGTAAGAACGCGTCAGCTGTGACCGCTGTTGGGAGATGCTGTTAAGGAAAGAAGTGTAGTTCATTTTGGGTCATATTGCTGTTAGGGTTTATTAGCAACATTCCGTAAGTAATTAGATGGATGGAGTTAAGAGGAGAGGACTGGGCTGCGAATTTAAAATAATACGTCATTTGCATCTCAGTAATGAAACTGTGGGTGTGATGAGCTCGCAAGGGAGAGCTGATAAACAGAGAGCTACAACCGAGTTTCCGAGGGCTGAGACCTGCTAACACAAACGGAGCAGGAGGAGAGGAACCAGCAAAGGTCAGTCAGGAGGGGCAGCAGAAGTGGGAGACATTCAGGGGAGTGTGGGGTCACAGAGCAAAAGTGAAGGGCTGCTTCAGAAGCCCAGGGTGCTCTTCATCGTTGGATGCTACCTGAAGTCAAGTATGAGAGCTTAGGCATGTTCACAGGTCAGCTTTGCAACATCTGGGTCATATTTCTATGGACACAGCAGTCAGACTGGAGTGGGCCAGGGAGCAAGTGGGAGGTGAGGCCGCGGAGCCCATGATCTTAGAGCTCTTGAGGACTGGGGCCACACGGGAGGTGAATGGCGAGAACAGCCAGAAGGGAATGAGAGGGCGAGAGAGGATTTTTATTGCCATGTTCTTGGCGACGATGTCTTTGTCTTAGTGGGCAAGATTCGAATGTGTTTGAAAGCCAACAGCAAGGATCCGTTAAGAGGAAGCGTTTAAATGCAGCAGAGAGGGCTGGCTTGGTGGTGAGGGGACATCCTGCTGAGCTGGTTTCATGCAGCAGGCTCAGTTTCCTGGGTGACCTGTTCACACCAGGCACGCACGTCCATGATCCTGGCTGGCCGAGAAGGCTGTTTTGAGGGAAGGGACATGAGACCCTCTTGGAGGGAGCTTGTCTTTCTTTTCTCACGCTTATGAAGGAAATCAACTTTAAAAATGCAGATGAGAGAGGTGGAAGGGTCCTGGGAATGGAAACTTTCCAAGGTTCAAGGAGGTGGCTTGGCCTTAGTAGGAAGGACAGTCTCTCTTTTCTGCTGGTGGAGTGAGGGAGGTAGAGGGGTGCCAGAGATAGTACAGACGTGTCTGTTGGAAGTGGTGGAGGGGGTTCATTTTCTGAGACTCTTTTTATGTAAAGTAGGAGGCAAAGTTGTTTGCTGAGAGGATGCGTGTGTATGGGGAGTGGAGGGCATACCTATGTGTCAGGTTGAAGGGTCGTTTTAAAGGACATGGAAAACATTGAGATGATCCCTACAGTCAATGAGAGTAAGTCGATTAGTTATGTGTTGCCAGGCAGATAAAGGCTGGTGATGAGGAATTCTCTGGGTCCCAGATCCCTTGCTGAGTTGCCTTCCCCAGCAGCACTTGACAAAGGAGACAGATAAGTCATTCTACAAGGATTGGAGCCTTGCCAAAAGGCTGCACCACAAGGACACGGTCCCAGGGAGTAAAGAGTATTGGAAACAAATGAAGCCTTTGATGCCCAGGCTGGGTAAGGAGGCAGTAAAGGCAGGAGGGTGGGTGGACTGGAGAAAGCAGAACAGAAGAGTGCTTGAAGAAGACGCTAGAGGTAAGTTGGGCCCCAGTGGAGAAGGTCCTCGCCTGCCAGAAGCTAAGCCGTTTCTCCCAAGGTCAATAAGGAGTCACTGAGGAATCTGAGTAGGTGAGTGACGCACTAGGTTTGCATCTAGGGAGTCACCCTGTCTTCAGCTCATTTGGATGTGTGGGTTAAGCCCACTGGTAAGAGGCTCACATTCAACAGGCCTCTGCAGAGAGAGCACCAAGGGCCTTTTCAGGTCTGGAAGAAAGAAGCAGCAGCCACAGAGAACAAGAGTCTAGGGAGGAGCGGGACTGAGTATGGAAGGAGAGCCAACTGAACTATCTCTTGCCAGGGTTTTGCTCAAGAGTGTAGTGAACTGGCCCTTGAAGGCCATGACCTCAAAGTCACTTTCTGAAGGAAAGGGCCCTCTGGAGACAATCCCCCCAAGCCTGTATCAAGATTCTGCAAGAGGCAGAGACCTGATCACATGGCGACCAGGGGCCTTAGGACACTCACCAGCTGGACTCCCAGAGTGACTATCATTTAGCTGAATCTCCCCTACTAAGACTAGGCCTGGAAGAGGCAAGTTTTAGGGCATAGGTGTCCTACATCAGACGTGCTCTTACAGGCCATGTTTGCTAGTGGGAATGTCAGTTCCTTGGGAAACATAACTAGGACTTAGTAGGTACTCCCTGAAAGCCATCTGCCCTACTCCAAGCCTGCCCAGAGATGAGCACACTTACCCTCATAGACACCCTAGTTCTCTGTCAGTGACTCACTTCCCCTCTATTCTCCTGATGGTCTCTTCCTTGGTTCTGATTCTTCACAAGGCCACAAATAGCCAGGGACAGCCTGTCCCTTCATCCTCCTTTCTCATGAAGAACGCCAAATCATGAGAGTCCCAAAAGAGAAGAGCTTTAGTCTCCAGCCCACGGTGGACCAGGTGCCATATTGGGCATTACACAGACATTGTCTTGTAACTGACCATAACCAGCCTGGGTGGCAGAGACTTGTGGTCACTGCTGCATGGAAGTACTGATCTTGTGAAAGGGGTGATTGGGTAAAGGACATCAAAGTCATGGGAAGAAATTATAAAATTGGAGTGAAGGTCTTGAAGAAAAGCCTTTGGACTGACGTGATCCAGGGAGCACACACCCTATTTGCTTTTCCCTCTGGCTCAGCACAGATTCCATCCTGCCCTGCATCAAGTTCCTTCATCCTTATCCAAAGGGATCACTTTCTGTTGCCTCTCTGGGTCAACCCATAGGGTCGGAGCTCTGCTGAAGAAAATGAAACTTCTCAATGGTGTAAAGATAGTTCAGGAGCTCAGTGGGTGCGGATGCTGTAGGCAGGGCTGGGAGACCTTCAAACTACAGGTCAAAGAGTCATCGAATTCGATAACAATGACAATATGAGAAGCGATTGGTTGAACACTTACAATTGGGTTGTCAGAAAAGTCATGACATATTTTTCTGTTTTTCTATGCAAAAATGAGTCACGAGTTTTCAGATGACCCAAAATATGCTGGATCCCGTGCTGCATCCCTGTGTGCATTGTCACACTCAGTCCCCTGAACAGCTATATAAGGTTATTGTCACCATTTTGCAAAGGCAAAAAAATATATATAAATAAAAAAGAACTGAAGCCTGGAGAGGTCACATGCCCATTGTGAATGTCAGAGTGAGATGGAAGCCCAGCCTTGTCTTACTCCAAGACTATGTGAGTCTCCAACTGCCAACAGGACATTTAGTCTGAAAAGTCTTCCTGGATGAGGCTTGAGCAGAAGCAGGCAGACATGGCTGGAGCTAACAGCCCATCAGTGACCGCCCCCAGTGCTCAGAGCACCAGGAGGACCACAGCTCCAGGGCAGCTCTTGGCTCCAGTTTTCCACTTTTTGGGAGACATGAACATACCACAGCCTGTGGCTGGGGACAGGCATCCAGGGCAAGATGATCACATCTATGCAAAAGAGATAAAGAATGTTTGGAGGGATCTTTGAAGGGGGAGAGATCACGTCTGGCTACTAGAATTAGGACTTTGCAATCTGGTTTCACTTTCCTAACTCTTAAAAAAATAAGCCTATTCTCAACTGGACTGGTGTGGGGTGTATTCACATTGGGTAAATTCAACTTACAAGTGAAGTGATGTATAGTGATTAAATGTATAAAATGAAAAATAATAAAAAAGTGTATTGAATCAGGACCAGCAGTTGGCGTAATGGCTGTGTTGCTGGACTCTCATGTGGCCTACTGTGGTTCGAGTCCCGGACCCAGTGGCTTAAACTCACACCAGGCACATGTGCGTGTGTGCCCGAGATCCGGAGAGGAGAATGGAGGAGAAGGGATTGCGGCATGGCCATCCCCCCTGGGGGGGTGATTTCTCGCTTTCTGTCTCTCTGTCTCTGTCTTTCTGGTGAGCATACATGCCCTATTGCAAAAATCTCTCCAAAAAAAGAAAAAAAAATAAAGTGTATTGGGTCATCTTTCATATAGAAATATTTAAAAGACAAAAAAATTTAAAAAAGTCTATGAAGCAGAAACAGCAAAGATCCTGGAGTTTGGGCTTTAGACTTGATTTTGAATTTCAGATCATTCTAGTTTTGTGACATGGGACAAATCACACAACCTTTCTGTTGACTATGCAAGGATTTAAAAACAAGGACAATACTTACTGAGTGGGGGAGGGAACACAGTGACCTGTCCCATTCGCCCTCATTGTTGTGAACGATGTGAGGTATTGAAGGGTCTCTGACTCAGGGACTGGACCCCCATCTTACCAACCCTCAATGGTTTTCTCCTCTTTTGCAGACTTGCTTTACTCAAAATGCCATCTTTCTTTTATCAAGTTCTCTTCATCGTTGGCCTCTGTGTCCCCATCTGTGGTGTGCCACCACCCAAACTTCCCAGCAGAGGCTCCTCCCACCTTTCCTCCACAAAGAACACCTGTTCCTCCCAGGAATCTTCCAGTAATATCAACTTTGCCTTCAACCTGTACCGGAGGCTGGTTTTGGAAACCTTGAGTCAGAACATCCTCTTCTCTCCTGTGAGTGTCTCTGCATCCCTTGCCATGCTGTCCCTTGGAGCCCACTCAGTCACCAAGACCCAAATCCTCCAGAGCCTAGGATTCAACCTTACACACACACCTGAGCCCACCATCCACCAGGGCTTCCAGCAGCTGCTCCACTCACTGAATATCCCCAGACAAGACCTGAGCTTAATGATGGGCAGTGTTCTCTTCATCAAAAAGGAACTCCAGCTGCAGGCCAATTTCTTGGACAAGGTCAAGAAGCTGTATGAGTCAGAAGTGTTTACTATAGACTTCTCCAACACCTCTACTGCCCGAAAGAAGATCAATAGTTACATAGAGAAGAAAACCAAAGGGAAAATTATGAACTTGATCCAAGATCTTGATCCTCTGACTGTCATGGTCCTGGTGAACCACATTTTCTTTAAAGGTGAGAATCTAAGAGGTTGATCTTGATTTTTTGTTGATTAGTCAAATTCACAGGCTAGACAAACCCTGAATTTCTAATCACCTTTGCAACTAACTGGCTGTAAGACCTGGGGTATCTCATATCCTTCATCTAGATTTAGTTCATCACTTACAATGGGGCTCACTCACCTGTCTTTGGATGGACTGATTAGTTGTCCTTAGCACTGACATTGGACTCAGTGGACAGCCCATAGGAAAAATCTTGAAACTAGCTTGAAAGAAAGGATCTTGCTTCTTGCCATCAACAGCTGCCCCACCACCTATGACGATTCTAGAGAAGGCACACAGCTCTCCGACAGCCAAGTTTAAGAAGCACATACAGGGAACCAGCAGTTAGCGTAATGGCTATATTGCTGGACTCCCACTTAGTCAACCACGGTTCGCGTCCCGGATCCAGTGGCTTAAAACCCATGCCAGTGGCTTAAAACCCACACCGGGCGCGTGTGTGTGCGTACCCAGGATCCCGAGAGGAGAATGGAGGAGAAGGGATTGCGGCGTGGCCATCCCCTCTGGGGGGTGATTTCTCGCTTTCTGTCTCTCTGTCTGTCTGGCGAGCGCACGCGCCCTATAGTGAAAAACCTCTCAAGAAGCACATACAGGGATGAGAAAACTTTCATAGGTGTGGAAATATAGACAAACTGCTGTAAATACCATTCAAATTTCTTACATATCTGTCTAGAGCTTTATAGTTTATAAAGACACTTGTGTTACAAAAGAGTGAGCATCAACTTTGAAATTGGGCAGAGGGTTTGAACTCCTCCACTTCCCCTTACTTACTCCATCTTTTAAATCACATTCCTTTAAAAGATCTACTATGTATTGAGTGCCTTATCTGCTCAATCTCTCTGTTGTTTAGGTGGATGGATAATAAAGCCAGCTTCATAGGTTGTGCTTGAGGTTGGAGCACCTGTACTCTCCAGAGTTACTGTGAATTCTACTGTGTCTCCCTCTCTTCCCACTCCATTCTACTCATTTATCCATACGCTTGTTCATCCAGCCATCCTTCCATCCAGTCAGTCATCCAATGAGCCAATTATCTATCTACTAGCCTATTCATCTACCCACCCAACCTCCACCACCCATTCACCTATCCATACCTCATTAGCCAAGTTATCTACCCATTTATCCATCCTTCCTTCAAACAGAAAGAAAGAAGAGAAACTATTATGTTTGAGCCCTAAGTTACCTTCACTTTATATATACTGTTCTATTTAATTATATTTTTATTGAAATATAATTTATATACTGTAAAATTCACCATTATAAAGTGCACTGTTTGTGTCAGACCTGTAGTGCAGCAGTTAAGCTCTGCGTGTAGGAAGTTAAATCTCATATGGTCAAGCACAATTCAAATTTCAGCCCTGGAAGCTTGAAAAACATGCTGAGTATGAGTGTATGTGTGCCCCAAATCCTAACAGGATGGAGAAATGGAGGAAAAAAGTTTACAGTGTGACCTCGCTCCATTGATGGGGTGCCTTTTCTCTCTCTAGTGAACATATACATCCTCTGGGAAAAAAAAATCAAGTATATTATTCAGAGGGTTTTGGATTTTAGTATAGCTACAAGGTCATGCAACTACCACTGCTATGTAATTCCAGAATATTTCCATTATCACCTTAAAAAGAAACCCCTTTCCTGCTAGTAGTCACTCCCAATTCCTGGTTATCCCCTTCCTTCCTCTAGCAACCAGCAATCTACTTTCTGTCTCTATAGATTTTTGCCATTTCTGGATATTTCCATGTAAATGGAATGGTACAGTTTGACTCCAGCCTTTAACTCCAAGCCTTTTGTATCTGGTTTCTTTCACTTACTTTAACATTTTCAAGGTTCTTCCATGTTGTATAGCATGTATCAATAATTCATTCCTTTTTATGCCTGCATGCTATTCCATTGTATGGATATACCACATTTCATGTATTCATTCATCAGTTTATGAACATTTGGGCTGTACTATAACTTTAGTGTGCACATTTTGTGTGGGCATATTTTCAGTTCTCTTGGATATATACTGAGGAGTAAAATTGCTGGATAATAAGGCAACTCTATATTTAGCTTTGAAAGAATTGGACATTATTTTCTATAAAGCTATACCATTTTACATTCCTGCAAACAATGTATGAGTACTCCAATTTCTCCTTGCAAACAATCTTTTTTATTATAGCCCAGAGAGAGTGTGAAGTGGTATCTCATAATGGTTTTTTACATGCATTCCCCTAATGTCTAATGATGTTGAACATCTTTTCATGTGCTTATTATCTGCTCCATAGATAGCATATAGTTGGACCAGATTTATTATTATTATTAATTTTCCTAATTGCTCCTTTTAATTGTAAAGTTTAATCCATTTTCATTAAAGATAAGGTAGAATTTATCTCTGTCATTTTGCTATATGTTTTCTATAGATCTTATGTCTTCTGGTTACTCAGTTTCTCTATTACTTCTTCTATGTTAAGAAAATATTTTCTAGTGTACCATTTTCATTCCCTTTTCTTTTCAATGTTTTTTAGTTGTTTTCGTGGTTGTCAGAGAGATTACAATGAACAGTTTCCCTTATCATAAGGGAAATGCAAATCAAAGCTTCAATGAGATACCACCTAACCCCAGTTAGAATGGCTAAGATGAAAAAAACTAAAGAATGGTAAGTGCTGGGAGCAGCAGATAAAGTAATGGTTATGTCGCTGGACTCCCACATAGTAAACTGCAGTTCAAGTCCTGGACCCAGTGGCTTAAACCCACTCTGGGTGCATGTACGAGCATACCCAAGATCCCGAGAGGAGAATGGAGGAGAAGGGATTGTGGTGTGGTCATCCCCCCTGGGGGATGATTTCTTGCTTTCTGTTTCTCTGTCTCTATCTTTCAGGCAAGCACATGCACAATATCACAAAAATTTTTCTTAAAAAAAAAAAAAGAATGATAAGGGAACTAACTTTCCTATGCTGTTGGTGGTAATGTAAATTAGTAGTGGAGAACATTTTAATTTAAACAATCTGTTTGGTATAATACCAACATCTCAATAGTCTACAAAATTTTTCCTTCTAAATAATTAATTTCCCCTCATCTCTTTTTTGTTGTTGTCACAACTTATATCTTCATCACTGTGTGTGTGTTAACATAGATTTATCATTATTGCTTTATGTATTTGTCTTTTAAATCACAGGAAAAGAACAGAAAAATACTTTACATAGTCTTTTATATTTAATTATGTAATTTTCCTTTCCAGTGTTCTTTATTTCTTTTTGCAGATACAAGTTATTGTCTAATATCATTTCATTTTATTCTAATAGACTCCTTTTAGTAATTTTGATTGGCCAGGTCTTCTAGTAACAAATTATCTTAATTTTTCTTGATCAAAGAATGTCCTAATTTCTCCTCCTTCATTTTGTGAAGGTTTATTTGCCAAATATAGAATTCTTGGTTGACAAGTTATTTTTATTTCAGCACTTTGACCACTCCATGGTTTCTGATGAGAAATTAGTTGCTAGTCTTATTGAGTATATCTTGTATGTGATGAGTTACTTTTCTCCTGTTGCTAAACCTCTGTCTTTAGCTTTTGACAGTTTATGATATGTCTAGATCTGAGTTTTATTAACTTTATACTGTTTGAAACTGTCAAATGTCTTTAATGTATAGATCAATGCTTTTAATCAAAAAGAGACATTTTTGACATTATTTCTTCACCTCACGCCCCCCCCACACACACACACATTTTTTTCTTTCCTTTTCTTTAGGGCTTTCATTCTTTTTTACTATTTCTCATACTCTATGCTCTAAATTAATTTACATTCTGGTTCATTAATTAATTTCTTTTAGAGCCAACTCTAATATGGTGTCGAGCCCCTCTAATGAGCTTTTAGTTTCCATTATAGTGCTTTCGACTCTAGAATTTCTATTCATTTATTTAAAAAACATAGTTTCTATCTCTTTATTTGGTAAGGCACCATTGTACTTTTCTGGAATTATTTACAGAAGGTTTTCTCTAGATTTTGGAACATTTTAATCGCTGATTTAAAGTCTTTGTCTCAGAAGTCCAACATTTAGGTTTCCTTAGGAACAATTTCCATTCATTACTTTAGTCATCTATGTATGGGCCATACTTTTTTGTTTCTTTCCATATCTCATATGCTTTTTGTTGTTGTTGTTAAGTTGGACATTTTAAATAATGTAACATGGCAACTTTAGAAATCAGATTCTCCTCCCTTTCAAGGGTTTCTTGTTGCTACTGCTTGTAGTGATTATTGTTTGTTTGTTTAGTAATTTTTCTAGACCAATTCTCTATAGTAGGCAGTTTGTCATCTGTGGTCACTGAAGCCTGTTAATTACTTAAGGGGTTAGTTATGACAGTATCAAGATTTCTTAAATGCTTGGTGCACATAAATCTTCCAGTCTTTGCTGAAGGTCTCTACATGTATAATGGCGTTTGTTATCAATACTCAGCCAGGTAGTTTACAATTTTGACTCAGCCTTCATGTTCTGTTTGTGCGAAAACCTTCTCTAAGGTCAGCCAGAGATAAGAGCTTACAGCTTTCTCAAATATTTCTCTAGTACATAAACCACATACAGTTTTGCACACACATGTGGCCTCTACATGCTCAGAATATGTGAGAACTTTCCAGAGTCCCAATGCTCACCTTAAACCTCAACTTTTTCTTTGAAAAGTTTGATTAGTTTATTGGTTGGTCTCTCTATTATCCATCATAGTAGTAGTCATGAAGTTAAAACACTTGGCTATAATTATTTTTGACAAATACCCTCACACCCCAAGGAAGAAGGCTTCTAGCACTGAGTGAACTCCAATTATATGTATTAGTGGCATCTTCCAGGGAACCATCATACAAGTCAAATAATTATAATTCTGTAGTAAAGAGGTTTTAAAAGCACTCCAGCTCGGTTCCTTTCACCCAGGTATCAGGAATACAAACCACTATTTTGCAATACTATTGCTGAGCCAGTTAAAATGGCACAAAGCCAACTGTTCTTATCAAGATGCAGCCAACTTTTCTTGAATAAACTCTCCCCAGATTGCTGTAGGACCTTGGTTACTTTTCAGAGCTTTGAAAACATTGATTCTAAGATTTTTCTTCCAGTTTTTACTATTGTATTTAGGGAAGGATGAAGACATAGAGGTTCTTATTCTGTTACTTTTGGTGCTATCACTACCCTTTCAACCCCCAATTCATCCTCTGAAGCTTTCTGGCTACATTGTTTTCCCCAACAGTTAACCAAAGCCCCAAGCAGCTGCGACCTTTGTCATCACTGACTGTAACTGTTTTGGCAAGTACTCCCCCAGGGAAATAAAGAGTTTTGCATTGATCGAGCTCCAAATCCTATCAAATACAGACCGTTTTACAAGAGATATCTCCTGGAGAGGCATAGAATAGGTCAATAATGACAATCGTTTGGGAGTAAGTTTTTTTAAAGGACTCTAGCCCCATTTTTCCCTCCAGTGACTGGAAAGTCAGGTATGAGACTAGGGCAAGGTAAAATACCACAAAGTACGCTGTTCTTTGTCAGAATCAGATTTTTTTAAAAAAACAGATTGTTCCCTTATTCCCTGCAAGCATTTAATTAACTCCCAACGCTCTAAAACAGTTGATTCTGACCATTGTTAGCTCCTTTCTCATTGTTTTGTGGGGGAGTGAGTTTTCAGTGAGTTACTTCACCAATTTTGTTGTCTTCACATCATTAATTATACTTTGACATAAAGACCTCTCTTCTTCTTTGCACTAGCCAAGTGGGAGAAACCTTTTAACTCTGTGGATACACGCAAAAACTTCCCATTCCTGGTGGACAATCGGGTCACTGTGCATGTTCCCATGATGCACCAGAAGGAGGAGTTTGCTTTTGGTGTGGATCCAGAGCTGGGCTGTTCTGTGCTGAAAATGGACTACAGTGGAGACATTGGAGCCTTCTTTGTCCTCCCTGGAAAGGGCAAGATGAGGCAACTGGAACAGGCCTTGTCAGCCAGGACGCTGAGAAAGTGGAGCCACTTACTGCAGAAGAGGTGGGCATCTGTGTCATTTTGCTGAGACCTAAGAAAGACTGTGCTAACAGCTGTCGAATAATCATTCATGCAAACTAAGCACCAATCACATGCTAAACAGTAAGCTTGATGGTGTGCATACACATTCTCACTTGAATTTCTCTGTCCTCTGACCAATGAGAAGTCGTATCACTCCCCATTTCATAGATAATGAAAGAGACTTCACGAGGGTAAGTGAATTACCCGAGGTCACATAGCTAGTATCGCCTACTGCTATTATGTGCTACCAGAACTCGTTCTAGAAGCCAATCTGATATTGAATTCCATGAAATGATTTCATAAAAGCAAACAAACTGAAAAGCCATTAGTGTTTACCTATAAAACAAGGATAATAATACTACCTAATCTGTAGGTCGTTGAAGATAAAAAAAATTACTATTTATAAAATGCTAAGAAACCTGTCCAGGAGATAACAAGTGTTCAGTAAATGTTACTTAATAGTAATATGATTAATTCTGTAGTTATTACAGTGAGTATCAAAAGAATTAGCCATGAGATAAAAGGGGATGTCAAATGCTTATTTTTGTTCTGCTAGTAACATGTTTTTCACATCATGGGCATCTTCCCCAAGTGCTTGTTACTTGAGAAAGACAATGGGCAGTGCCTCAGAGGAGGGCAGGTAAGGTGCTGAGGAGCTTTTGAGTGGAGAGAGATCATCATCAATGGGACTGGGGATGGCTTCAAGGAGGCGGTGGCATTTGAGCCACAAGTATGAACAAGAAAGACATGAACGTATCGAGGACTGTGAAGGACAACTTTTTGGTAGAGGAAATAGTATTGGCAAAGATGCAGAGTCAAGGATCAAAAGATGCTGCAAGATATTTCAGAGTTTCTTCTCTTCTCAGACTGTAACCAGGCAGAGGAAGAGGACGCAGCGTGGAGGCTGGGGGAGGGGTGGAGCACAGCACAGCAGTTGCAGCAGAGATGATGGAGATGCCAAGGCCAGCACAGGGGACAGTGACAGGGAGGAGAGAGCTGTCCACAGTGTCAGTCATGAGAAGTATGCCAGACGAGGACTGCAAAGTTTTTATCCAACAGTTCAATGCTTTCATTTCTGTGAGTCAAGACTTTGAGCAAGGCACTAAAACTAAGCTTCACCACCTTTAAAATGAGGGACATATTATTGAATATCCCCGGGGTGATGTTTGGCACATAGTAAATGCTCAATAGCAGATAGTTTACTCCTGATTCAGGAAACCACTGCAGAGAAAGATTACAGGGTGCCAAATTCTGTGGCTGTGCTGTCCCATACAGTAGGCATTCGCCACAAGTGGTTATTTAAATTTAAATGAATTATAATAAGTACAATTAACATGAGTTCCTCATTTGCACTAGCCACACGGCAAGTTGCTCAATAGCTGCATGTCGCCATGAGCTACCAACAACACAGACGCAGCATATTCCCACAGGGCATTCTCCTGCCCTTGCTGCTTTAGGGCATTAGCAGGGTCTGCCTCAGGAAGGGCTGATGGGGTGCATATGGATGGGGTGATAGATGACCTCCATCACTCTCTGATGGCTCCCATTGGTCACTACCTTCGGCTCCCCTTCTAGGCCACCTTCCCACCTCTGCACCTGCTTGTGAGCAGGCTCATTTATCTCCTATGTACCTTCCTGCTGGACGTGCTCAGCTGGGCTTCACTCCAGAGCAACCAGGAATGTTTGGCTGGGATGTAAGACTGCTTTAGCAGCGACCACCAATGCCTGGAGGAAGAGACTCCTGCCATGCTACCTACAAGCAGAGATAGGGATCCTGTGGCCTAGGACCTCACCTTTCCCTTTCCCTTCTCCACAGGTGGATACAGGTGTTCATCCCCAAATTTTCCATTTCTGCCTCCTATGACCTGGAAACCATCCTCCCCAAAATGGGCATCCGCAACGCCTTTGACAAAAATGCCGACTTTTCAGGAATTACAAAGAGAGGATTCTTGCAGGTTTCCAAAGTGAGTTGATTGAGAAGAATGTCAGCAAGAAAACCCAAGTGGGAACCACCTAGAGATTGGTTAACTGAACACTCTCGCTTCATTGATAAGTAAACAGAGGCCCAAGGGGTGACGTGATTGCTCCGTGGCCAGAAGAAGGGCTCCATCTTGTGGCTGCTGGGCCTATGGTTCTATGGCTGGTAACCGTGTGGTCCAGGCACCATCATCCTCCTTCACACAGATGTTCCGAAGACCTGACCACAGTTCTGAGAGAAGCAGGCCTGTCCTTGCAGGCAGTTCTGCTGCCCTGCCCTTGCTGCAGATGTGCAAGTGCTCCCTGGTATCTGCCCTCACTTCCTCCGCCCTAAAGTTTAGGTACACGCATAGAGCGAGCGAGAGAGAGAGCAGGAGAGGACTTTTAAAACTTAGTCTATTGTATCATGTTAAATATGTAGATGGACTTTTTGAAAGATAGATTTCCGATCCTTTTGGAATGAATGTTGAGCCCAGTTCCCACATGGCAACCGTGAACCCAAATGCGATCTCCAGGGCTGAGCCGTGGGCATGCCTTTCCCAGACAGTCCCCTCAGGTCACTTGCCTGCTCTCCTTGTAGAAGGTCTGCTCACTTCATCGGGGTTACCTGCCTAGCCCCGTCCACATGTGGGTTTCTTGCCATGACCGAGAATTTTATTTTAATAATGGAGTATAGTAATCAGAGCAGCCCCAGACCCATGGAAGGGGGCTTTTGTCATTGGTTTCCAGAAAAGGAATACAGAGAGGTCCTGCTGGGACGTGGTGGGCATGATATGCCTTCTCCCAAAGAAACACTTGCAGGAACCTATGAAAACTAATGCCTGGGATCTCCAGTTGTTCACACTCCCCCAAAGCCTACATAAATCCCAGGTTAAGAATTTCATCCCTACAAGATAAAAAGGGGGATTCAACCTTTAGTAATACTTAACTCGTGTCTGCAATGTAACAATTATGGCAGTCACAATTGCTGGCAAGTAATTGAGTGTGTCTTTGTATTATCTTTCTAAAAATTTTTTAAGAGGTTTTTTTTTCTTTCTATAAGGCATGTACACTCACTGAAGAGACAGAGAGAGATGGGGAGAGATAAAGTGAGAAATCACCCCCAGGGGGATGGCTATACCGCAATCCCTTCTCCTCCATTCTCCTCTCAGGATTTTGGGCACACATGCACATGCACCCAACATGAGTTTCAAGTCACCAGGTCTGAGACTCGAACTGTGGTCAGCAATGTGGGAGTCCAGTGCCTTTACCACTACCCCACCTGCTGGCTCATCTTTGTATGCTCTTTAACTCACTCAGTAACCTCACAGAATATGTGCAGTTGCTACCACTTCTTTCAGATTTGGAATTGGAAGTATGTGGCATCTAAATGATGCTTACAATAGTCAGTGGCTGAACGAAGAGGCAAGCCCAGATCTTTCTGGTCTGGATATACAACTACGTGACTCCATGCCTAAGGGCCAGTGAACCAGTCACCAACACCAGCTGCACTTTACTGAGTGCACCTAATGACAGGCATTCGGCATGTCGATTCTTGATGCCTCTCGAGGCAGGCATTACCCCGGCAAAACCCCAGAGCTCGGTTAAGTAAAGGTGTCTCGCGGGGGGTCACTGATGCTTGTTCTCCCTTTGCAGGCTACTCACAAGGCCGTGCTGAACATCAGTGAGGAGGGTACCCAGGCTGCAGCAGCTACTGCCACCAAGCTCATAGTCCGATCAAAGGATGGCCCCACTGACTCTGTCATCATCTTCAATAGTCCCTTCCTGATAATAATCACAGATGAAGCCAGAGAAACTATCCTCTTCCTAGGGAAAGTTGGAAATCCCACTACTTCCTAGGTGGAACATGGCCTGGCACCAGCTAGCATGTTGATAACGCATGAGAAATAACCACCTACATACCTCCTTCTGTTCTAGGGGTCCACCTGATCTCAGAGGAACTGCGGCTCCAACAGAGCTGCCTTGGTTGGCTGAATGCCACGTCTGAAGCTCAACCATCAAACCATCAGCAAAAACCCTACTCACAAGCCAAAGCCCTTTAACCTCAGTCAGTTCCCTTGTCCATAGAGCCTCCAGGTAACTAGCTCCGTGGAATATGGCTGGCTGGCAGGCTTCCATTCTTCAGAGTTCCTGGGAATGGTGCCATATAGGCCAGGCACCTTTACCACAGAATTACATAAATAGGTTCAGAAAACCTAAAATATGAACTCAGCTGGCCTTAGGACTCCCACATCCTTGCAGGACTCTGGAAATAATGATTGCTTGGCTCACAGCACCATTGTGAAAAAGAGAAGAGAGTTGTCCGTTCAACTCATTTGCCCATCTTTTAATTGGGTTGGTCAGTGTATGACAAGAGAGAGAGAGAGAAGAACGAGATGAAGCATCACTGCTCCATACAATTCTGAAATCCAGCCAAACACGGATTCCATGTCCCTCTATTGTGGGTATGGGAAATACTTGCTGATTAAGGCCTAGTTCTGCTACCTGGGAGCAGCTGCTCTTGGATCCATTCTCTGGGCTCTGGGCTCCACCCTCATACCATTCTTCTTTCTCTATGGGAAATGACCTACAAAGGCCACTGCGATGCTTTCTTAAACTTCCTGGTCCCTGTGTGTAAGAAGCTGGGGACTCAGACTCATTGCATTTTGAATTATCTTTTCCCTTTGGGTCCAAAGTGATACAGCACCTTTAAACACCATAGATTTTCTGCCAAGTTGTAAACTCTTACATTAGACAAAAGCCATAGACACAGATCTCCTTAAGACAGCGTCTCTACATTTGGCTGAGTAAGGAGTCATGGGAAAATACCCAACACATTCTTAGGAATCCTTTCACCTAGCTGAGAGGATCTAGGAGACAACAGCTTAAGTATGTCTGGTCACGCTCCTACCTGATATTGATCTTCTGGTTTACAGATGGTGTTCTGAAATTGGTCTTTGTCTTCACGGGGTTTCTTACTCTGAGAATCTTTTATCTCATCCATACTTTATCAAATACAGCTAAAAGGCACATTCTCATTTTCAAAATTCTGTCTGGAAATCTCATTGGCTAGATCCACAAGTTCATTTGGTCACTTTTCTGTCTTTCATGTTACCACAGGTGATAGAGTTACCACATCCCACTGCTACATAACATGAACTGTCTTTCTTCAGCCTGCAGTATCAATTTCCTCACTGCCTTTCCAGCAACCCCTAATAGACTCCTCTATACCACATGGCTGGCCCCAATTTGAGCCCCAGACACTGTGGCTTGAAATTTATGCCAGGCACTTGTGTGTGCATGCCCCAAATCCCAAGAGGTGAATGGAGGAGAAGGGATTGTGGCATGGTCATCTCTCTTGGGGGGTGATTTCTCACCTTTCCTCTCTCTGCATCTCTCCAGCAAGCACAAGCAACTTATGGCAAAAATAAATAAATAAAATAAAATAAAAAAAAAAAAAACAAATAAAAAGAAAGAAAGAGAAAGAAAAAGGAAGAAAGAAAGGAGAGAAAGAGAAAAAAAGGTTTAAGCCAAGGCATCCCACCCACTAGTCTAAATCAGCCACCCACAAAGACACCTCTCCCAGAGAAGTTAAAAGGGCTTGAGGCAGAAGCAGTTGTCCCAATGCACATGGTGTAAGATGAGGCACCCCGACCTCACAGGAGAGGGTCACTGTTCTGCACTAGAATGATTCCCTTGGTCAGATTGGCTAGAGACCAAACGAGGGAGGAGAAATCAGATGTTTGATAATTCATGTTAGTCTCTGCGCATGAAACTATGTGGTCATACTGATCTCAGAGGGTGGACTGTAGTCTCAACCACCTTCTATTAATACCTTTGGAAAGGAGCCAGATGTTGGCACCATGGTAACACGCTCTGAGAAGCTGGACTCACATGAGAAAGTCCGGGGTTTGAATCCAGGGCCTCCCCATGCACACATGCCCTTGTGATCTGGGCTAGCTGAGGCTTGGAGTGGATCATGCTGTGAAGACCCCATTGGAGATGCCACTAGAGAGGTCTAGCTTTCTTTCTCTTTCTCTGTTTCTCACATGCAAGAAATTAAAAAAAAAAAGATCTTCCTAAAGACCTAAGTTAAGAATTCTGTTATTTGTCTATTTCTGCTAACAAATTACCCTCAAATTTAGTAGCTTAAAACAAGCAGCCCCTTCTGTGTATCAGGAATTTGAGAGTGGCTTCCTAAGGAGTTTGGCTCTGGGTCTCTCACGGAATTTTGGTCTAGATATCAACCACTTTGAAAGAGAACTCTTCCCTAGGGAAGCACTTCAGACAGCACACAGCTGAGAAGATTTGGGATCTGGTAGGGACTGGGCATTACTGGCTGTTTCCAAATGCTGGTCTGTGGAGAAGCTGCAACAGACTGACCAGGGAGTTTTACAGGTAGATCTCCACCCCCTTCCTTTTGGAGAATCAAGTTCTTCCCCAGGAGACTTTACCCTGGTAAGCTCTCCTTGATGAGAACCTCTGTGCCAACCTAGATAAGATGTTATTTTATGATGAGCCTTACTTGTAGGGTTAAATAACTATTGGGTTGTCAGAAAAGACATGATGTATTTTTTCTATTTTTTTCATGCTAAAATGCATCATGACTTTTCCAATGACCAAATACTTTTTCTTTTCTTCTTTTTTCTTTTTTTCTTTTCTTTCTTTCTTTTTTTTCTTTTTCTTTTTTTCTTTTTTTTTTTTTTTTTGAGAGATTTTCACTTCAGGGCATATGTGCTTGCCAGAGAAACAGAAAGCGAGAAATCACCCGCCAGGAGGGATGGCCATGCCGCAACTCCTCTGCCCTCCTCCCAGGATCTTGGGCACGCATGCACATACACCTGGCATGAATTTGAAAGCATCAAGTTCAGGATTCGAACTGCCATGTAGGAGTCCAGCGTCATAACCACTACACCATTTGCTGGCCCTGACCCAGTACTTTTGAAAAGTTGTTTTATTTTTTCCATGAGAACAAGAGAGAGAGAGGCACCCCTCAACAGTCTTCATGCCACATCCTCCGCCGCCTCTGCCAGCCCAGGTCATGGTCTCACATGCATGCAACCCAAATACCCAGGGAGGCCTCAGAGTGCAAACCCAGGACCTCCCATGTGTGTCCAGCTTCACAGAATGTTGTGGCAACGCTGCACCACTGCGGCACTGCTGCTCCTGGGCCTCTACCTTGTAACAGTAATGTTTTATTGTTTTTTTTTTTAATTATAAATAAGATGCATGCTCTTTGTGAGAAATTCAGAGAATATAAGTACCTGCAAAGAAGAACATAAAAATGACCTCAATCCCATCACCAGGAGACTCTCCCATAAACAAATACTCATTTGGTTCTAGGCTTTGTTCTAGGTGTTGGAATGCACGGGTGAACAGGTGCCATGGTCCCACGTTTCAATACGGCCGGCTTTCAGTGGAGCAGGAGGCGAGAGCATGCTCATCTGCTCACGTCCTTCGGTCTTTTCCCTGTGTCCATGGACTGCCTTTACTTACTCCTGGAAAGGGATGCGTGCAGTGAGTTCATGAGGTCAGATCCCAGTGCTGAGCCTGCCCTCACAACCCAGGGAGTGAGCGCGTTCTTCAACCTCTCAAAGCCCCGGCCTCCCTCCTGTAAAGTGGGGAAGTAGGGATGGTGTTTCTCTTGCACTCGTACTATGAAATGATCAATAAAAACGCTGCCAGGAACATACACAGACCAGCATCAACTGTACCCCACTGCCTGCCACCTGTGTCAGGATACCTGCACACTGAACTGGGCCCTGCACAGCTCACTGCTCTCTCTGTGGGACAGGGAGCCAGGGAGACACTTTGGAAAGAGCCCTTCCTGTTTGCTGCACATTGCCTCCACCCTGGTTCCAGGAATTGACCGGCAAATATTGACTAGCCAGTCGTGCTCTTA